GAGGGAGGGGGGGGAAGAGCAGCGTCACGTGCCTGACCTTTGCTGACACTTCGCCCTCGCCGGCCTATAAAAGCGGACGCAGCCGGCGGGACGGAGCAGCGACCCGCTCAGGCTCCGCCAGGTTCGGACCTCGCCTCCTCGACCGAGCGCTCGCCGGACTCTGCCCCGCGAAACCCCTCCAGGCGCTCAGCCCAGCCCAGCCCTCCTGATGGCCCGCCCGGAGACCTTGCAGCTCCTGCCGAAGCCCCGCGGCGGGCAACCTTTCCCGCTCCTGGCTCTCGTCGCCTTCGCGCTGCTCCTGCAAGGGCGCGGCGGGCGGGCGGCTTCTTTGCAGGGCGTCGTCGACGGGACGCCTCCGATGGCCAAGATCTACCCCCGAGGCAGCCACTGGGCAGTGGGTGAGTGAGTGAGGATTCCCGCCTCTCCCTCCCAGCGCCGGGAGGCTTCCTTGGCCAGGAACGCGCGTCCCGGCCGCTCGTTTCCTTACAGCCTTCATTGGGCAGAGGGCATCTCTAGGAGAACTAGGTTTGAGCACCGGGAAGGACGGCTTGCCGGACCTAGAGATGCCACCAGGTGGGCTGGGATCCTGTTTTCTCCACAGTCAGTTTCCCCTGGTTGGGGAAAGTAGCCAGGATACCAGTCAGAATAACAAAATTCGAAGGAACCTTTGAGGTCTTCTATCAGTCCACCCCCTGCCTAGGCAGGAAACCCTGTATCTTTTCAGACAAATGGTCGTGCAATCTCTTTAAAACCTCCAGTGATGGAGCACCCACAACTTGTGGAGACAGGTTGTTCCACTGATTAATGGTTCTCACTGTCAGAAAATTTCTCCTTAGTTCTAGGTTGCTTCTCTCCTTGATTGGTTTCCATCCATTGCTTCTAGTCCTGCCTTCAGGGGCTTTGGAGAATAGCTTGACTCCCTCTTCTTTGTGGCAGCCCCTCAGATATTGGAGTACTGCTATCATGTCCTGCTTTTCATTCAGCTAGACAGACTAAGGTAGCTTTGTGTATCTTCAAAAAGTGGGCTATCTCTACCCCCCCTGCTCCCCCAGTCACTTACCTTAGAGAGCCTCCATGCCATGGCTTTCCATTTCTTTCCAGTTTCTCCCATCACCAGTCTTCCCAGTCTCTTGGGTATATCTGTAAAACTCCACATCCATGTCTCCCTGGTATCCCAATTTTCTTTCAAATCCCAAAGGAAAATGTGGTGGAAGAGCTGGTCCCTTGGCCCATTAAAAGGATGGATAGCTAAGGAGACATCCAAAAGATGAAAAGGAACACAACAGAAAGCCACCACATAAAAACAGTAAAGATGCATGTCAGAAATCAGTCAGTGGTGGCACACTGTGTTGCCTCCAATGATTAAATTGGTTTTTAAAATGTAAAATAAATGAGAGGCGTCTGGACAGAATTCCTGGAGATTGGGAAGCAAATTCTTCACTAAAATACTTATTCTTTTCATTTGCTAATTTAAATTGGCTTCTTTGTAATAAAAGTGTTTTAGGGAAGGGCAGTAGGCTGGGAAGAATAAAAGTAAGGAAGAAGAGCTCAGGAAAAAAGAGCTACAAGCTAGAGATGGAGATATCCCATTCTCTAAATATTGTCAGAACTACCCTTTATTCCCTCTTCTGCATAAGGGTCAGAAATTTTCCACTAGGAATTTATTTCGCTGGCAAATTCAACTGAGATTAGAAGCATCCTTTACCTATGTTAAAGCAAAGATCACAAATGTCTTTGTCCATGAAAATAGATGGAGAAAAGATGGATTCTATGGCAGTCAAAATCAATTGAATGTTGCTTATTTATGATAATTGTCTTCTGCTTGTCATGGAAAGTACCAGCGAGCTGCGTAGAGCATACAAGCCTCCGTTTTGGTTGCTGAGATCACTCATGGCCATATGAGGTCTAGAAAGTTTTTCCTTACTTAAAGGAAAGCGTGGTTATTGCCAGATAGATGGCTGTGTCCTTCCCCATATTTGTCACCGAAGAACAGAATAGAGAAGACATCGTGAGCGTTTCAATATTTCTCCTGAATTGCTCCAAGCCAACCGATGTGGATGCCATGGACTCCAGATCCAGGCAGGACACAGATGTCCCCACTGACACTGATTTCATGGCACATCCTTTTTCTTCTTGCAGGGCACTTCATGGGGAAAAAGAGTACTGGAGACTTTCCTTACGTGTACGAAGACCGTCAAGAGATGCCCTTCTCTTTGCTGCCAGATAATGCCAAACAGCTGGGCAGCTATTTGCAGCAGGGCGAATCCTTCAAGGAGCTGTTCAAACGCATGGAAGAGGATGAAGATCAAAATTCTCAGCTTCTCCGGGAAGAGCTGCCATTTTCTTCCAAGAATGTTTGGGGGGCAGAGGAAAGCAGCCGCTTCAAAAATGTAAGTGAGGTTTCCGTAACCCCAATCTGTTCTTCTTTGCATTCTAGTTATTTAACGCTTGATGTTCTTCTGTTCAGTTTGTTTGCTGTGAAAAACGTGTGGTGTGTTTCTGACGATTTCTCATTTCACATGCCAGGTTTTCTAACCTGAGACAAGCAATAGTAACAGAGCAAGAAGAACAAGACAGACAGTTTGGTCTACTGGTTAAAGGCACCAGGCTAGAAGCCAGGAGGCTGTGAATTCTAGTCCTGCCTTAGACATCAAAATCAGCTGGGTGACTCTGGGACATCCACTTTCTTAGGCCAACTCTCCTCATTCAGATTAATAAAAATTTGCTTTGGGGATTCTTCTTTTTAGGAGAGAAAGATTTCAAAGAAATGAAATTACTGTAAATTTTCCAGTTGGGTAATGAAATACCTGCTCTTTCCCCTCCCCCAACTCGTCCATATTCAAATTATTCAAATTTGCTTCACATTCAAATTTGCTCCGGGAATTCTTTCTTAAGAGAGACAGCTTTCAAATAAATCTTCATAGGAAAAGTGTCCTATGTCTGCTTACTTAGAGGCAAGGTGACCAAGACTTTTTAAATGTCCTTTCTTGATGATGTTATTGCACTGATGACGTTACCTAATGAGGTAACGAAAGGTCTGCAAGCAAAGAACTAAGCTCAGGGAGCCCCAAGGACGTCTCAGTTGTTCTTTCCTTGTGCCATTCTAATTGACTTCCCACATGCCAATGAAACCCCCCAAATTCCCATCAGAATAGATAACTCTTGTCAGGTATTCCCTGTTAGAGAAAGAGGAAAGGTTGAAACATTTTTCTCCTGAAATTTCAGACATTTATTCTCTAGTAGCTCAACAAATTGGAATTGTGTGACGTAGCTGCTGCTTTGGGTTTCTCTAAAAGCAAGATTAGATTGAGACATCAACCTTTGCAATTAGATTTCCAAATATCATATTTGTTTGTAAAAAGAACAACAACCCCAGAATAATAATAATACAAAAAACCCCTGGGAATTGAATCCGAAGAACTCTGAAGGGGAAGCTGTAAAAATGCTTTGCTTGAATACTAATTTGACATTATCTCCAAATTGGGTTCCAGCTTGAGATCATTTGAACGTGGAGGAGCCAGTCTTCCCCAGTTAGTTCCATCCAGATAATGTTAACACTCCATAAAGGAATTTTTTAAAAAAGCTAATATTTGAAATTTGTATTAGAATTCTTCCATGAGAACATATTTAAATAGGGGCATCATGAAGCTACATCATTCCTATTCCTAAGGGTGATGCAAACACATGCAGTGGAGTCACCAAGCCATAGTTGCAACACTAAGAAAGATAAAAAGGCTCTTGAAATGCTGCATGAAGTACATCAGAAGCAGTGATAGGATTCAAATTTTTTTTACAACCCGTTCTGTGAGCGTGGCTTGGTGGGTGTGGCAGGGAAAGGATACTTCAAAATCCCATTCCCTCCCCACCCCATTAACCTGCTTTCCAGCTCTGTTCTCCTGTGCAGGGCAACCAGAGGAGACCCAGCCGATCAGCTGGGACTTGGGAGAATAGATTGGGCGGGGCCAGTCAGAGGTGGTATTTGCCGATTCTCCGAACTACTCAAAGTTTCTGCTACCGGTTCTCCAGAACTGGTCAGAACCTGCTGAATACCACCTCTAATCAGACGTTATCACCACTCTTCTGTCAATAACCTCTGAGATGCCTTGTTAGAAAAGGGTTAGATCAGCCTTCTGCAAGCCGTGTCTTAAATCTCAAGGATCTTCTCTTAGATTTAGAAATAAGATTTGGCAATGGGGCAGACAGATTCATTATAAGACAAGTCTTGTGAATTTGTATGAACTGTTTGTCTTCCCCACCCACAAACATTTCTACTTTTCCTTCTCTTTCCTTCCTTCCTTCTTTTTTCTGACTTTGCTCTAGGATTTCTTTGACATTCATTGGATGTTCCTGTGCATGAAAAATGCTTTTCTCAGACCTCATGCTGAATCCTCTGATGAGGTCTCATATTTTCTTAACTGCCTGAGGATCTTTCTTATGTTATGAAATAAAATGAAATTTAGGGTAAATGCTAGAGGAATGGATTGAAAAGCCAGGGCTATAGTTTTATATATAAGCCAATTGCTTTCAATCAAAGTATGATTGCTTTCAAATCAAAGTGATCCGTGGTGATGGGATATATAGAGATACATAAATAAATATGACACTTTGTGGGACGACGTCTGTGTTAGTCTGTCCTATCCAAAAATCAGAAGGAGCCAGTGAACACTTTTTTCAAACTAAAATATTTTGTTGAAAGGCACAGGCTTTTTGTGAGCTTTTTAATAAAATTTGTTAGTATGAAAAGGTGATCTCAGTCTCCTTCTGTTTTATAAACACCTATATTTCTCCATTTTGTTAACTTATTTCTTAGTTTGTTCCAAAACAAACACAATCCATAATCAGAACATGGGAAGGATAGTGAGGAGTTAGAGATGATATTTTCTACTAATGATAGATTTCTGCTAATGATAATGAACAGTTGCAGGAACTGCGTATGTTTAGTCTAATCTAAAGAAGGACTAGGGGTGACCTGATAGCAGTGTTCCAATATCTCAGGGGCTGCCACAAAGAAGAGGGAGTCAAGCTATTCTCCAAAGCACCTGAAGGCAGGACAAGAAGCAATGGGTAGAAACTAATCAAGGAGAAAAGCAACTTAGAGCTAAGGAGAAATTTCCTGACAGTTAGAACAATTAATCAGTGGAACAGCTCTCCTCCAGAAGTTGTGAATGCTCCAACACTGGAAGTTTTTAAAAAGATGTTGGATAATCATTTGTCTGAAGTGGTGTAGGGTTTCCTGCCTAAGCAGAGGGTTGGACTAGAAGACCTCCAAGGTCCCTTCCAACTCCGTTATTCTATTCTATAGTAATACATCGGCTGAAAGGGAGCTATTTATCTTCCTCCTTTCTTTTAGATTTGAGATGTTCTGAGGAAAAGGAACACCTGACCATTGCTGGGATAGGAAACCAGCAACTCTCAAACACATCACTGGGAAAAAGGAGAGTTGTGGTTTCTTTAAACACCCTGCACATCCTGGTATAGTGATTTTTCTCCGTCTATCACGGCAACCTGGTCCACCCAATTATGGGGCGGAGCATACTGCTTCCATTTTTGCCTTTCACAAACTATTTATGTGTTAAGTTTATGTTTTACCAACAAAGAAAAATAAAGGGAGACTAGTATAGATCTTATTTCAAGCTATTTAGCTCTCATCAGCTAGCCATACCCTTCTGGGACTCGAATGGCGAGCTGATGAGAGCTAAATAGCTTGAAATAAGATCTATACTAGTCTCCCTTTATTTTTCGTTGTTCAGTAAAACATAAATTTAACATCCTGTATAGTGTGTGTGTATTAGGTGGGGAAAGAGGTGTTGATAACTCTGCAACCAGTGAAACCTCAAGAAGATTGCTCTTTCTTGAGTTCAGAAAATCATAGACGGGTGGGATTCAACTGGCGTAACAACCGGTTACATGCACTTCGCCCGAACCGGGCTGAACCGGTAGAATCCCACCCCTGCACATAGATCCTAGTAAATTTGCTCATTGGCAATCCGTTCCCTGTCAATGGAATTAGGCAACAGAAGCTGGGGACAAGAGTGAGAGTGTCCAGTGCTTGTCTGCCTATTGGACAGTGTTGTGCACGTCCTAAGCCTCCTCAACTAGCTTGCTGCTCTGGATGTAAAGAAGATGCTTTCCATTGTGGCTCGACAATGCATCACTCCGTTTCCGCTCCAAGGGCATCCTGACTCACCTTGTTTACCTGATCATCTGATGAAGAACACAAGTGTGGTCTTCAGAGTCTATTCCTTTTGGGGCCGAGGGCTCCTTTGCCCACCCCACATTAAAGACTGTGAAATAGCATGTAGAAAAAGACCTGTTGCAAATATCCATATGAATGAAGCACAAGCTATTTTAGACATGAATGGTGCTCCAACAATTCTCTTTTTTTCCCTTTTTCCTCTTCTCTCAGATGGTGGAGCTCCTGTTGCAAGTACTGGATAAAAAGGAAAGCACTCCAAGTTGAAATGACTGCCATCCAGCACTGAAAACATAGAATGATGTCTTTAAGAGACTGTTGTTTCATAAGCATTTTATTGTACATGATAACTAAATAATTATCTTTTCTGTTAAAACAAGATTTCCCCCCCATCTGTGTAGAAGAACCTGTTTCCTTGTTTCTCCTAACAATGGCTACACTTTTCCAGTGGCTTTCCCCCTCTTTCCAAGCAACGTTTTTCTCGCTTTGAATTGCTTTGTTGTACATAATTGTCAATGAAGGGTCTTCCAGTTCTCTGACAATACTTTGCCATTTCTCTCTTCAATCCCTCCCTCTTTTACCTCGCGATCATCCTGCATTTCAACATTCACAATAAATAAATATATATATTTAAAAAAAAAAAAGATGGGCACTTTTATTGATCTCTGAACACGTGATGCAGTTGAAATTAAAGCTCGGTACGTCCAGCACACCAGGGCACGAGTTCCATGATGGGGCTCATATTGGAGAAATATTTAAGTAACAACATATAAAACATGTAGTCTCTGGAAGTTTCAATTGGTGCAAAATGAGGCAGTGGTTTTGTGCAAGGCTAGTGTGCTGTTCAGACAGTGTATAGTTGATTGGGCATTGGGAGTTGTCCCCTTAAGGGAATGCCTCATGGTAAATGTAGTTCATGTCATGTGGTCACATCTGTAATCCTGATTGGTCACTGAATTGACCTTTGGTTGGGTTTGGGGGAGTTTCCTTTATTCTTGCTTAGACCCCAGCATTGTGCTGGTGTCTTTCCCTTTGCTCCATCGTTATGGGATGAAGATAACTATATTTTCACACTATGAAGATAACTATGCAAAGATTGGACATTAGATGAATCTCAACATAACTGTGAGTTATACTTGGAGGATGCCTATTACAATCCAATAAAGAAACTTTGTATGGAAGCCTTTGTAGAGTTTATTTAACTGTCTTTATATTCAGCCAGAAAGTTAAAGACAGAACAGCTAGATTTGCACATGTGTCTCCTCTTGCGGGAGCTGCATTGATAGCTGATTTGCTTTCAGGTCCAATTCAGGTTCTGGTTGTCACCTTTAAAGCCCTACATGGCCTGAGGCCAGTTATTGGAAGGACCTTCTTTACCACGGTACATCTACTTGACCCATCAGAGTGGGGAGGCAGGAGATATCACAGGTTTTCCCCTTCCTAAGGAAATCCATCTAGTTGAAGCAAGAAAAAAGGCCTTCTTCGTGGTAGCTTGCTCCCTGTGGAACCTCATCCCTACAGAAATAAGATTAGCTCCCACCTTGACACTCTTGATAGATCCTGAAGACATGGTTTTGCCAAAGGGCCTGGATATTCAGGGTGATATGGAGCCCATCAAGCAACCGGTTTGATTATTGTCACCTAGGGATCAGGAGTTTATTAGGTTTTGTATTTATTTCTGTAAGCCACCTGGAGTTCCCTTGAGTGAGTTGGGTGACATATACATTTTCTATTTAAAAAATTTAAAAAAATCAAATCAAATCAAATCAAACATGGCTATAACATTATACAATTACCACATTTGGGACAATCAGACCATATGTCACTGCTTTTAGCACCAGCTTACATCCCTCTTAGGAGACGGGCTCTGCCTATAATAAAGACAGTGAAATCTTGGCCAGAAGATGCTTCCCAACAACTTCAGGATTGTTTTGAGAACATAAATTGGGACATCTTTTACCACCCTGACCTAGAAGAGCACACTGCAACTGTTCTGTGCTATATCAAACACTGCCCAGATACTATCACTGTGGATAAACGTATTAGGATCTATCCCAATCAGAAACCCTGGATAACCAAGGAAGTCCAGCGCCTCTTGCGTGACAGGACCAAGGCCTTTAGGTCCAGTGATGGGGCAAGATACAGTGTTGCCAGAGCTAATCTGAAGAAAGGTATTCGGAAGGCCAAGACTGATTATAAGAGGAAGATTGAGGATAATTTTTATAGCAATAACATGAGGCAGGTGTGGTGAGGAATTCAACAAATTACAAACCATCAACCGACCAATGTCATCCCTGCTGAGGGGGATGCTTCATTGGCAGAGGAACTGAATCATTTCTTTGCTCGCTTTGAAGTGGAGACAACAGAGACAGATAAAACACAACTACCAGCCAATTGTAGCCCCCACCTCATTGTGGAGGAACAGGAGGTGAGGAGCATTGTGAGGGCTGTGGACCCTAGAAAGGCTGCCGGTCCTGATGGTATCTCTGGCCTAGTGCTTAAAGACTGTGCTGATCAGTTGGCTGGAGTCTTTACCAGGATCTTCAATCGGTCTTTATCCCAGTCTACTATTCCATCTTGTTTGAAGGCTTCCACCATTGTTCCGCTGCCAAAGAAGTTCCCTATCAATAACCTCAACAATTACAGACCAGTGGCATTCACTCCTATCATCATGAAGTGCTTTGAGAAATTGGTCTGCCAGCACATCATTTCTGGTCTTCAGCATACATTTGATAAACACCAGTTTGCATACAGAAAAAATAGATCTACAGAGGACACTATAGCCATCACTCTTCACACTGCTCTGACTCATCTAGAACAGCAGGAGGGCTATGTGAGGATGCTTTTTGTGGATTTTAGTTCTGTGTTTAACACAATTCTTCCACATAGACTAGTGTCTAAACTTCTGGCCCTTGGGCTTTCTAATTCAATCTTCCTTTGGATTATGGATTTCCTGTCTGGCCGTTTACAGAGGGTCAGATTCGGTAATCATACCTCTTCAGCTCTTATTCTTAACACTGGCACACCACAGGGTTGTGTGTTGAGTCCCTTACTCTATACTCTTTATGTGCATGACTGCATTCCCACTCACATTAGTAAAACTCTTGCTAAATTTGCAGATGACACAACAGTGGTGGGACTTATCTCCGGGGGGGGATGAGTCTGCCTACTGAAATGAGGTGGACCGGTTGCTTTCGTGGTGTGGAGACAACAACTTGGTCTTCAACACCAATAAGTCCAAGGAGCTTATAGTGGACTATAGAAGGAACAGATCAGACATCCAGCCCTTGCTTATCAATGGAGACCGAGTGGAGCAAGTGGCCAGTTTTAAGTTTCTGGGTGTTACCATAAAAGAGGACCTGACCTGCGGGGCTCACATTGCAGCCCTGGTCAAAAGGGCCCAGCAGAGATTATGCTACCTGAGGCTTCTCAGAAAAAAACAACTGAATGGGAAACTGCTGGTGACCTTCTACCGCTGCACCATAAAGAGCATTTTAACGCACTGCACCTCTGTATGGTTTGCCAATTGCACAGTGGCAGATAGGACAGCACTCCAGAGGGTTAACGTCATTGCCCAGAAGATCATTGGTTGCCCTCTCCCCTCTTTGGAAGAGCTTTATAACTCCCTGCCCGCTGTGAGCCGCGCACCTGTTAATCGTCATTAGCACGCTGCATGCCGAGAAGCAGCCTTTGAAACAGCCCTCTTTTCTTTGTTTTTTTAACTGTAGCTGTGCCTTGTTCGGCAGTTGCAGTTGAAAAATCAGGAAATAAAGATCAGGTAAGAGCCCGGGTGGGCAGGTGGGCAAAAACATCAGCAGACATAGAACCGGTTCTATGTCTGCTGCTCTTCAGAGCTACTGGTTCTACAGAGGTGGACAGAACCGGTAGAAACCCACCCCTGCTGCTGCCTTAAGAAAGTTCAAAACATTCTCAAAGATCCATCTCATCCTGGGAACCCTTCTTTTGAACTATTACCATCTGGCAGACGGTACAGAATAATAAAAACAAGGACAAATAGGCTGAAAAACAGCTTCTATCCCAGGACAGTAGCTCATTTGAATTCTGCTGTATAGTGCAGTGTTGGTGTGGTGTTGGGGGGTTCTGGTTCAATGTGTGAAGGGTGAAGGGTGTGTGTGTTTATTTTCATGGTCATGGTCATGATGTGCACTGAAGATGGTGTTTGATTTCGTTGTACAAGGTGCAATGACAATAAAGTAAAGTAAACTTTCAAGCAGTTCACATCATTTACAAGTAAGGCACTATTTTTTGAGTAACAACGCACTGAGCAATAATGAAGGAAAATCACAATTTTATCCATAAGTTTGAACATGGGCCTTCCATGTGCTCTCTTAGTCTCTGGGATTCCACCAGATGGCACTCTCGGCTAACACATCATTTTTGCAGACAAGTGGAAAAAGCTAAACCAAATACTACTATGTCTAATTGTCTATGGAGATTCTCAGTCATCCAGGTCATGGTTGTCCCAAAAGTGCTTTTTCTAAAGCCAACTGGACTTTGTTGTCATTTTTTCCCCTTGAAGATGTTTCTCTTCTCATCCAAGAAGCTTCTTCAACTTTGAGATTTGCCTTTTCAAAAAGTATTTTTGAGGCAAACACTACTATGACATAAAAGTGTCTTATTTATTTATTTGATTGACTGGCATTTATGTAATGCCAAACTGTTGCATATTCTGCAACGTATGTAGTTAGTTTAAGAATCAGTGGTGGGTTCACACAACATAATTTTAACTGATTCTGGTACGTTGTGCAAACAAAATTGAGTAAACTGTGCAAAAGTAGCAGGCTAGTGGTGATCATGCTCAAATTACTAAATGGCACAATCGTGTGTATCAAGCTTCCTTACTTCCAAGGAAAAAATCCAGTAATTGTATTGTAGTTAACATATTTTCAGAGATGCGTTGTGATGCTATCTATATATCAGCTTAGATTGTCCAGTTCTTTCTAGTGATTCAGGAGGTCAGCCTATTGGCCATCCTTACCACATGTGGGAGGTTGTGGGGAGGATTGGAAAGTAATGGAAGGGAGATTAGATATGAACAATCAAGAGGCAGAAGGAGAATCTCCTGGAAGATTATTTTTCTGGGGTACAAATTCAGTGCACCTCCTCCAACTTTGTAGCCTTAGCCTTCTATGACATGGAAATTTGCATCATTATATATAATAACA